ATGAAGAAAGAGATTGATCAGCAACGCTTGGATTTCCTTAGCACTTTTTTGATCTTCCAATTAGGACCTCTCACACTACGGGGTCCCATTTATGCAGCAAAATTTCCTGCAACAACGCCTCATTTTTTTTCTTTCTATTTTCTTTTTCTGCTGCTTTATCACGTGGTAATGTTCTTTCGATGTAAATATGTCATGTGCGATATGTATAGTTTGAGTTTATATACAATTTTCACATGTATTATAGTTTAAACGACGACATTCAAACTTTCTTTGCAAGCGGAACTGCATTATTTGGGCAAACCTGTTTAACTCGTGCATATCTTTTGTAGTCGCATAAATGAATTAATATCAACAATACATGTTGTCATAGGAGCAACTTGTCTGTGGGAATTCTGCTTAACTGTAGCAAAAAAGAGAGAAGTATAAGATCATTGTAAGGATCATGTATTCATCCTACAAGACCTTATGTATTGGGTAGTGTTATTCACACTACTATTTTTACCTCTCACACATCCTTAATAATTTTTGTTCATTGATATTCTTCAATTTATTTGATCTGACAATCGAAAATTGAGAGGAATGTGTACGAAGCAAAAATAAATATGTAGATAATACCACCCTATATATTCTCCATTGTTTCTCTCCTTTTTGTCTTAAAATGTGGAGGTCCCATACGATAAATACAACATCCCTACAAGGTCTTGTTTATCTCGTTTTTGCTACAAGAGATCGGAATTCCAGTTAAGAAATGAGTCGTGATGTTCAGCTGTTATAATGTTATAATTAATTATCTAGTTTTGATGCTAAGTTTGAAGAAAAATATTGAGTGAAGGTGAGGATTTTGAGGAGGGAAATCGGTAGGTACGGACTTACATATGGGTGTAAAGAATGGTCCAATTCCAAGCCAAATCTCAAAACAGGGCAGACATCATGCATATTGCACATGGTAGGGTGGTGGGTGACCCATTTAGTCACAGAGCCAACTAACGTTTTGCTTCAATTCGTGTTTCAAAACCCTATCCCCATTTTTCTGGTAGAAATCTACATTTTATTCAACCCCCTTTCTACGAACCAGAAGAAACTAGCTAGCTATTTCCTCTTGTCAAATCGATACCGTATGAATCCGATCCAAACTGAATTATTAGCTTCTGTTTCGTGGGTGGGTGCAAAGTGCAAATCTATCCGTGGCCTGCGCATGAAGATCCACGATGATTGATGCATGCAACACAGAAAAGTTGTGTCTAAAAAGAATATATATCTACTTTTACTATTTTTCGTGCAAGAGGGGGACATTGCACTGCTAGAGAACAAAACTACCAGTGTATTGTACTGAAAGATCAACATCACAGGAGGCTAAAGTTAATTACTAGTCTTATATTACTGGGGACAATGCTTGAGTGTATTTCTCTAACTTATTTATAATGTATCTTTATCGTAAAAATTATATGATAGAAAATCGTTCCATCTGTTATAGAATGGTTACCTTTTTTTAGTTTAGTTAATTATTTTGCTCGAATGTTAATATTTGGCATTCTTTTTGTTTAATAAATCTCATAAATGGCTTACCTTTCACAATTAGGACAACTGACCACATGCTTAAATTTCTTCATTCTCATGTGTTTATTTTCAGAGAGTTCCGGGAAGGGTTCATTGATAGAGATTTGCTAGCCAGAGTTGCTCCTAAAGTGAGTCTAGCAGGACTTGCCACACGTGTATTTTGCCTCCAAGAATTTACCCTATTTTACCTAATGTACGTTAGATTTAACTGTGGTTAATTTCCATCAAATTACGTACACACTTGTCTTACTTCTGTCAGACCAATTAGGTTATAAATATAATTTATTATCTGTCAAGTCAAATTAATTGATATGAACCCCTCTTTCTCTTGAAACTCGATAGATTGAAACAAACTGTCTTTCCTTCCTGCATTCTGGCCGCATGGAGGTGGTGTGGTCGGACAAGGAAAGGGATCCTCTTTGATTCTTTTTCATCAAGTCTACTAAATTTATCAATTTAAATTTTTAAAATTTGATCTAACTACTAAAATTATTATAATTTAAAAAAAAAAACTTTATATTTTTATCTATTAGATCAAATTTTTAAAATTTAGATTGATAAATTTAATGAAAGAGAACCGAAGATAATCTATTTCCGTCGGACAAGTATCTCTCCTACTTTTTTTATTTTTTCTATTTGGAGGCTTAAGATTTTATTTTGTGAAAAGAGAAAGAAGAAATAAAAAATTGCAAGAGGAGTGGAGATAAAAGGGAAGATAAGAGAATCCCCATCCGTTGTGGTCATTAGGATATTATTTCTTAATAATGTACTTGCAACTTGTAACAAAGCTAGAATAAATAATATACTAAGCCTATTTGACACGAGGCATTCAATAATTTATACGCATTTAGAATTTTGTTATTATGAGCAAGCTATTTGACAAGAAATATAAATATATATATGTATGTACATTGTAATCGTATTTTTCAATTTTGGTTGGTACATTATATTGTTATTAGTATCATGAAGTTTATCTTCTTTCATTATTAAGACAAGACGTACAATATCAGTATACCCTTACTATAAAGTTCATCTCCTTCCACTAACTATGGATTGTGGAGGGCAAGGAGGGAAGCACAAGAAGATTAGAAGTCATGCAATTTCAGAGGAGGCTCTTTAAGCATACAAGATCTTGAGATCTTAGCTGTACCATGGATGTCTGCTGGATCAGGTTTGTGTAGCCAAATACCACCAGCCAACCAAGCCATGTGTAACGGGCAACAGCAAGAGAAAGTTCCTCAACCAAAAGTACAATTAGTGGCAAATTATCTGTATTACATTATCCTCCGAAATTATTTGGTTTATAATAAAAGATTCATATCAGAATCACTACTATTTGCTGCCACACCTACAGGATGAATCAATCTTCAGCCAGTAGTGCTGAACCTGGCTCTGTGTCTTTAGCTGAAGTGTATCCACCTCTGTGCATTACAAATTTTCCTTTTTCTTTTGTTTCCTTTTTCTCTGGGAATAATTGGCACGGTACACCACTATATATTGGGCCAACTTCTAGGGGATCTAGCTGTCCGTACTTCGAATCCACTTCGACTTCTCTATGTCCAGGTCGAATCAACTTCGACTTCTCTATGTCCAGGTCGAATCAGCGTGAAAGTGGACAGTGATGTTGACTAGAACAATATCCTTACCAACAAAAATCACGTCTTAAACCTAAATAGTCAAGTTAACTAAAATAATATGCTTAATCTTCAGATATACCAATATGAATAAGAGTATAAACGTCCGTGTACCCTAAGGAAACTGGCATTATGCAACGTAGACGTGTTTGGACCCGATTTTATACTATTAGTTCGAGTAATCAAGATCATTGAATAAACAGGATTTTAGACCATTGAATGATAAAGTAGTTGAAATGATTTTTAATTATTATTGAGAAATAATATTATAATTTTTACATAATAATGATTTCTTAATAATATATTAAATTATCTAGAGTACAGTTGGATAATAAAGTCACGGTAATATCGTGTGGGTTAACATTGCTATAATTTTGTAGAAAGATAGCATGACTATCATGGATGGAGTCAAAGTATGGCAGGATGATTATCAAGTTCAAAGACTAATCAGATAATGAAGAATGCATGCACGGATATAAATGTGATGGAGAATAATGATTACATTTTTTGATAAATTGATGGAAGATAATGATTACATTTTTGGCTGTAGTGGGTTTGCACTGATGAGACAAACAATAAGGAAGCATTCTATGACTTCCACGTGGAAGATTAAACGCACCTGTGCATGAGAATAATCTCAAGGATAATTTCAAATACTTGCATATTAGCAACGTACAGGAGACGGTCAGTGCTTTTGATATGTTTGGCATCAGGATAGTATTCCATGAGTCAGATCCTATTATAGTACGACACATCAAGCGAGTTTTCTATAAATACATGGCATTCTGCATAATTCAGAGCTCTTTCAATTTAACACACAAATTATCTTGCGTAAAACTTTTCAACAACTTTGAGAATTTTATTTTTTTTCCTTTTTTTTTCCGCCAACACATCTTCAGTTTAGATAAACAGCACTTTGAAGACAACCAGCGACATTTTCAGTTTGGATAAACAACACTGGAGTCATCTTCAATTTAGATAAACAGCGACATTTTCAGTTTGGATAAACAGCACTGGAACCATCTTCAATTTGGATAAACAGCACTGTAAAGGCAATCGGCGAAATCTTTAGTTTAGATAAACAACACTGGAGCCGTAGAATCAACCAATCAATTAGCATCTTCAATTTGGATAAACAACACTGCTTTGAGACCGACTAGTTATTTATCCAAGTCTCGGTCGACAAGGATATTCAAGTCTTTGTTGGTAGAGGTCATCTCATTAGCATTCTTGGCAAAGTGAGGTATTACTAGGTTACTACATTCGGCACATTGAAAACCGAATTTGATATTGAACTTCGTAGAACTACCAGCCTTGTCTTCAGAATATAAAACCCGAAGGTCGAGACGTGTTCCTTCCTCGGCAATAGTCGTAAGATCAATAAGTCAGCAGCGCGATCAATGTGACATCAATATATTTTACTTTTCGGCCGAACTCTGTCGTCGAGTTGGCACGTCCCGCACATAACTAGAAGACATAGTTAGCTCATTAGTTACTCGACCTGCGCGTCATATAGGAATAGTAGTCTTTAAGGTCAACAAGAAAGACACTAGTTTTGCATTTTACCACCAAACAACATAAAGTTAGAAATTAACAAAACGAGGGAAACATGTTGACACTAAACAAGATATTTACGTTACAAGGGATTTTTTATGTCTATGTAGAAACTTAGTATTACAACAAAAGTAACACGACTTATCCACACAAAAACTTTCAACCCATATTCTTGTGCCCAAAAATTTTCAACCCATATTCTTGTGCCCAAATTCTAACATGATGCAAGTACATATTGAAATAGTCTTCATACGTTTATTCCCAGTTCTGGTTAAGCCTAGCCGTTGCCGCGAGCGATTCAGCAACTCCGCCTGGAGTAGTGGGCATATTCGGACTGTTCCGTATCTCCGCTCCTATCACCGCCCTTGCATCCTCTCTAGTCACAGGTTTGTCCGCAGGCAACTTCTGAGTTGCATCCTGCAATATTTTCAGGAAAAAAAAAAAAACAATTAAAAGAATTAAAAACCCTAGAATGTTAAACATAGTTATTGATGTATTATATTAAATGTTAACATAATCTGTACCTCTAACACATCACCAAGTTTCGTTTTATTGACGTCGCGCAGGTTAACAGAAGCTGCATGCTGAGCTACAGCCGCCACACCGCCGAGTGCTATCTTGTTGCATCCAGTGGCTCTCATTTCAGCCGTCTGTATTGCAGCGGCGTCACTTTGTTCAATCGGTTTGTCTCCTGCTGACAGAGCACTGGCCTCCAGCGCTTCACTAATTGTAATTGCATTTCGATCAAGCGCTTCTCCTGGAGAAGCCACTGGCACCGGTGGCTCAACATATTGTGCCACAACCTTCAAAAGAAGGTAACCAATATATAGTCACATAAATATACATAAAACGCTGACTATCACTGTTTTAGTTCATTATCAATTAGATGTTTTGACACACCCCGACCTAATTAAGGCGTGTTGGCCGTCATGTGAGAGTGACGTAACCATGTGCACAATGCGGAAGCAAAAATGATATAGAGAAATACGAATAAATAAAACCCAGACTACTAAAAGTACTCGCTAAAAAAATGCTCGTGCGAGATTAAGCGTGATAACACAACCAGAGTATAAGTAGCCTAAGTGCGGTCCAATAGGACAGTACTAATTACACAACACCTAAAGGTGACCATACAATGGTGATAATCTGTCAGATCTGCCGTGGATTCCTCGCAAGCCACCAAAAGCACTCCTAACTAGAACCTGGAGGGGCGCAAAACAGAAAGTGTGAGTGGGCAAAAACAAAGCTTTTCAAAATCATTTCATTTCTCAAAAGTTCTAACACCTCGCCGTAAAACTTGTATAATTTCTCAGAAAATAGAACATAAATATATATATCACAACCATGCTGAGAATAGCAAAATTCACCAATATGCCATGTCAAATATCTCAGCATAAAAATATATGTAAGTCAGGTGATAAAAATCAATGCCAATGATATGTCAGCCGGAGTCACCTAACGTGACCTGTACGGCTGAATCTAGAGCTCATCCATCTAGCCAGAGTCACCTAACGTGACATGTATGGCTCAAATCCACATCTCAACAAATATACATGCACACGAGTCCGAACCACCTAAAGTGGTCTGTACGACAGGACTTTGTGTAAATAAATACGCTCAAGTGCTACGATCACGTGAAGACCGTGCGAATAATCGCGGGTCACCTACGAGTCGAAACCACCTATAGTGGTCTGTACGACAGGACTATGCACCTAACTTGGATCCAAGATAAGCGTATGGTGCGGGAGGTGAACATCACGTGAAAGACTGTGCCCTAACTCTGTACGGGAGCACTAACACCGAGGTGCAGGTTTATGAGCTCTTAACACATCTCACATAATCATCGATTAACATAAGCAATCTACAACTCACCTGATACTTACCTGAGCGTCCACAACGTCAAATCACAATATGCATACTATAGTAACTCATAATCTAAGTATAAATCATGAGGCATGACATTTCAAAACATAATTCCATTTAAATGCATTTTCTAGGAAAAATACCAAGCACACATATATATACTGAAAACAAAAGATCACTCACTGGTATGTGGAAGGGTCGTAGACCCCAAGCCTCGATTGACTGCGCTCGTCCTGAGGATAGGCCTCACCTGACGCCGTTAACTGCCGTTAGGGATATTCCGTCAAAGTTGACGGAATATTCTCCTTCTCCTTCCTTAGTTTGCCGGAGTCCGGCGCCGATCATCGTTGCGTCGCTGGTTTCTGGAAAAACTTCTAAACTTCATTTCTCACTCATTTTTGCACCAAAATCCATGAAATTTATGTCAAAATGAAGCTTAGGACTAGATGAACACATCCTTGCCACTTTTAGGTCCTAAATCCAACGAAAATTCGTCGGAAAAATCCACGATAATCCGGCCACCCTGCAACTCACTGAACCCGAGCATCCCAACGTCAAAATTACTCTAGATTTGGTCCCAAATGCTAGAAAAGCAAGAATAGAACCTTCTTAAGTCTTAAAATTACCTGAAACCTTCACGATCACGATGAGTGAACAGTGCACCTCATCGGAACTTCTTGGTTCTCGAGTTCCCGACTTCCTCACGTCCAACCAAAAGTATAGATGGGTTCGTATGGTTACAAGAAAAGTGATGATGGTGTTTGCAAACTCGATCCGAGCATGAAAAGAGTGATTCACGAGTTGACTGTATAGTTGTACGAAAAATGGATGAAATCCGAAAGGGAAGAGAAAGAGAGTCAACAGGAAAGGGATTGTGTGTGTGTGTGTGTGTGTGGTCTAGGTTTGAGCAACCAAACAATTAAAAGAAAAACTTAATTTCCAATTGGTTAATTCCTTAGCCCATTTCACACGCTCACAGCCAAACGTCCAAGGGCAACGTCATCATTTCACATTATCGAAAATATATTTTGGGACAGGCTGTCACATGTTTCGATTATTATATTTTAAAGAATATGGTGTTCGATTGATGGACGCAAAACATAACATGTCAAATATATAACGGGAAGTATATGTACAAATTTTATAAAAGTTACTGAAAATATGACTTTAGTCCCTGAAACTTTTTTTTTTTTTTTTCCACATAAAACCCGACATAAGTTTTTTACTGGAATAAAACTCATTGACTAGATTCCATATTAGCAAATTCATTAATTATATTTGACTTACACAATTAATTCCATACAAATTGTAAGGGAGAATTAATGATTTTACAAAAATAAAAAAAATAATACATTCATTGCATAATATATAATAACAATAAAACATGCCTGACAAATGTAGTAATACATGCTTAGTTAAGTCAATAAAATTATATTTTACATATAAATGTAGGTAAATTATTTCACACACACACATGTCACATCCCTACCCGGGGGGAACCACTTCCCGGGCCCGCTCCACCACCGTAACACGATATTGTCCGCTTTGGGCCCCGACTACGCCCTCACGGTTTTGTTTCTGGGAACTCACCCGAGAACTTCCCGATGGGTCACCCATCTTGGGAATGCTCTCCCGCGCTACTCGCTTAACTTCGGAGTTCCCATTGAAACCCGAAGCCAGTGAGCTCCCAAAAGGCCTCGTGGTAGGTAGGGATGAGAATATACATTTAAGGATCACTCCCCTGGGCGATGTGGGATGTCACAATCCACCCCGCTTAGGGGTCCGACGTCCTCGTCGGCACACCACGGCCAGGGTTAGGCTCTGATACCAAATTGTCACATCCCTACCCAGGGGGAACCACTTCTCGGGCCCGCTCTACCACCGTAGCACGATATTGTCCGTTTTGGGCCTCGACTACGCCCTCCCGGTTTTGTTTCTGGGAACTCACACGAGAACTTCCCGATGGGTCACCCATCTTGGGAATGCTCTCCCGCGCTACTCGCTTAACTTCTGAGTTCCCATGGAACCCGAAGCCAGTGAGCTCCCAAAAAGCCTCGTGCTAGGTAGGGATGAGAACATACATTTAAGGATCACTCCCTTGGGCGATGTGGGATATCACACACACATATAACAACAACAAAAAACATGCATGATATACATAAAAATTCATGCAAAATAATTTACCTACATAATAAAGCAAACCCAAATATATGCAAAATAATATACCTGTATAAAAAAAATGTTATTATTTTATTCAATACTAGTTTACTTATTATTTGTGTCACATATCGGCCGGGGCGGATCATTTCCCGAGCCCACTCCACCACCGTAGCATGATATTGTCCGCTTTGGGCTTACCATTCCCTCACGGTTTTGTTTTTGAGAACTCACGAGCAACTTCCCAGTGGGTCACCCATCATGGGATTGCTCTAGCCCCCTTCTCGCTTAACTTCGGAGTTCCTACGGAACCCGAAGCCAGTGAGCTCCCAAAATGCCTCGTACTAGGTAAGGATAAGAATATGCATATAAGGATCACTCCCCTGGGCGATGTGGGATGTCACAATTCACCCCCCTTAAGGGCCTGACGTCCTCGTCGGCACACTTCCGGCCAGGGATTGGCTCTGATACCAATTTGTCATATCCCGGCTCGGGGCGGATCACTTCCCGGGCCCGCTCCACCATCGTAGCACGATATTATCTGCTTTGGGCTTACCATTCCCTCACGGTTTTGTTTTTGGGAACTCACGAGCAACTTTCTAGTGGGTCACCCATCATGGGATTGCTCTAACCCCCTTCTCGCTTAACTTCGGAGTTCTTACGGAACCCGAAGCCAGTGAGCTCCCAAAAGGCCTCGTACTAGGTAAGGATGAGAATATGCATATAAGGATCACTCCCCTAGGCGATGTGGGATGTCACAATTTGTACATGTAATAATAAAATATGCGCAATATATATGACGATACATACAAAATAAAATACCTACATAATGAAAAAATGTTATTTGATTCAAAATTAATTTACTTGCAAAATAAAGCAATTGTATTTTATTCAAGATTAATTTACATATTATTTGTACATATATCTTATAATAATAAAATGTGTCAAATATATGTAATAATACATGGAAAATAAATTACCTACAAAATAAAATAATGTTATTTGATTCAATATTAATTTACCTACAAAATATATTTTATTTGCTCATCATAAATTTAAATATAGGTGGATTAATTAGTTTAATATGTTTGATCATATATGTAGTACTGTGCATGTGTGTGTGTGTGAACATATAGTAGTATTATATGTATAGGTAAACTATATATATAGTACTACTATACGTTCATATAGGTAAACTATGTATGTGTACATATACATATACATATATATATATATATATATATATATGTTGAGCTTATGGTAGTAACATATATATTCGAAGTATATATGTGTGTGTTAGGGGTAATAATATGTGCAATAATTATATTTTTTATTGTAATTAAGGGGAGTAATAACATTTATTGATTTTATTTTGAATATCATGTGGTACAAATTGTAAATATTTTGTAATAATAGGTCAATTACTTCTATACTTGACAGTCATTTTTAAATTTGGGTTTTGTTTGAATGTTTATAACTATGTGGATTTTTGTCTAGGAAATAAGAGTTGCAATGGTCTATATCTAAAGAACCCTAAATGTCACATCCCGACCCAGGACGGATCATTTCTCGGGCCCGCTCCACCACCGTAGCACGATATTGTCGGCTTTGGGCTTACCATTCCCTCATGGTTTTGTTTTTAGGAATTCACGAGCAACTTCCTGATGGGTCACCCATCCTGGAAGTGCTCTCGCGCTCTACTCGCTTAACTTCGGAGTTCCCATGGAACCCAAAGCCAATGAGCTCCCAAAAGGCCTCGTGCTAGGTAGGGATTGGAATATACATTTAAGGATCACTCCCCTGGGCGATGTGGGATGTTACAATCCACCCCCCTTAGGGGCCCGACGTCCTCGTCGGCACACTTCCGGCCAGGGATTGGCTCTGATACCAATTTGTCACATCCCGGCCCGGTGCAGATCACTTCCCGGGCCCGCTCTACCACCGTAGCAAGATATTGTTCTCTTTGTGCTTACCATTCCCTCACGGTTTTGTTTTTGGGAACTCACGAGCAACTTCCCAATGGGTCACCCATCATGGGATTGCTCTAGCCCTCTTCTCGCTTAACTTCGGAGTTCCTACGGAACCCGAAGCCAGTGAGCTCCCAAAAGGCCTCGTTCTAGGTAGGGATGAAAATATACATTTAAGGATCACACCCCTGAGCGATGTGGGATGTCACAATCCACCCCCTCTTAGGGGCCCGACGTCCTCGTCGGCACACACGCGACCAGGGTTAGGCTCTGATACCAAATTGTCACATCCCGACCCGGGGCGGATCACTTCCCAGGCCCGCTCCACCACCGTAGCACGATATTGTCCGCTTTGGGCTTACCATTCCCTCACGGTTTTGTTTTTGGGAACTCACGATCAACTTCCCGATGGGTCACCCATCCTGGAAGTGCTCTCGCGCGCTACTCGCTTAACTTCGGAGTTCCCATGGAACCCGAAGCCAGTGAGCTCCCAAAAGACCTCGTGCTAGGTAGGGATTGGAATATACATTTAAGGATCACTCCCCTGTGTGATGTGAGATGTTACACTAAAAGTTACAAATTATATGCTACGAGTGAATCCCCTAATTATAAAACATAACATGTGCTTGTTAAGTGTGCTTATAAAGAGTTGAGCGATAAACACGAAAATAGTACGTTAAGCTTATCGACCCACATATTGAGATCTCAGTACAATGTTATTGGAATCTCAATACGTAATGTCTCATATGACCTCAAATATAACTACTTGTTGAGAGTGAATCTCAAATCATAGAATTAAGAGACATGAGCTTGTAAGGAATAGCACTACTTCATATCGTATTTAATTTAAGAAATTTTAACGAAATATTCTCGATACTATTCATTTTAACAAAAAATGACATTTTACTTTAAAATATCACTCATATTACTATTTACTTACAACACTTTTTTGTCATTTTGAAAATTCAAAATATTTCAAACCATTTTCATTAGTTTTCCTTTTAATTTATCATCAAACCTCACTTTCTATATGTAACCAAGCTCGGCTAGTCCAGCAACTTTTTCAGTGACAACCCGGTTGCCGTCGGGATTAATTGTTTCATCAGTAACGGCGACGCCTTTCTCTCGGGCGACTTTAGTGGCGTCGCGGTGGCCAACAAGGCCAAAGCGCTCGTTGTGTCTAGCTGCCGACTGCATGACAGCAGCTGGTCCACCCCTCATATTCTCTCCAAGCACTAGGTTTTCAGCAGCTTGGGCAGTGGCAGCGTGGCGGGGTGCGACGGGCCTGTCGGCTAATTCGCCGGAGACATTGAAGACTTCTCCGTATTTGATAGGTTCCTCAACCGTGGACTGGTCCGGTCGGTGTCTTTGTGGCTGTTCCTGGCTCATGTTTTTGGGCTTAAATATTGTACAGATTAGGGTAAAATGTTTTTAACAGTAGTGAAAGTATACGTACGGTCCAAATTAAGCAAAATATTTGACTAAATATATATGAAATTTGTTAGAGGATGGGATAAAGTGAGAAGGGATGTGATATCCACACATCCCATTTTACTTCTCACACACCTTCTTGATTTTCGGCCGTCGGATCGGATGAATTGAAGAAGATCAACGAATAGAAATTATTGAGGGGTGTGTAAGAAGTAAAATGGAGTGTGTGGATAGCACACCCCAAGTGAGAATTGGACCGCAAGGTTCAAATTTACAGGTGGTGGATGGAGAACGAGGAAGCTCACAGGTGGACGCTATGTTTAAAGTTGGACATGATATGCGGCGACACTTGGACTTCGATCGGTGTTCAGCGTTAAACTACTAGAACTTTGACGCGTGTTATTATTGGCCTTTGGTAGGAGAGAATTTTTAATGACGTATCACTATGAATTCCGGACATATCAAAAAAAGGGGGAACTTAATATAGGTCCTATTTTTTGAGCCAATAGTAGGAATAGTCCAATTTATTAAAATAAATCCAATTCCTTAAATCTTATTATTTTATTATCAATAATTATCTATTAAATGATAAGATTTATTATAAAAATCAAATTTCTTCCTAATTATCTCTTTGATTATTTATTTATTTTAGTTCTTTCTTGTTCTTTATCCCGTTTTAAACCCCATTTATAGATTTTATTTTTTATTTTTATAATCAACCTATGTCACAGGTTAATTATATTTATCTACCTATATGATAGATTATTTTTTATAATCAAGTAAGATTCATGTGTCTTGCTTGTAGATATATTATGTTTTTTTCTAGCTTTTAGTTAAGTTTCATATCTTACTTATAGGTATGATATATATGCATATATTTGTTACTTGAGTTAGGGTAGAATGATTTGCAGATAGATTTATGTCAATATATATATATTTTTTTTTTAGCTATAAGATATTAATTATATTTTTTGGGGTTGAAAATTCATAATATTAGAAGATTTTAATTGATTTTTAATATTTTTAGAAAATATAAAATGAGCATTAAAAAAATAAATACATATAATTAGGTAATTGGACTCACTCCTAAAAACCATCTATGTTTTTGGACCTGGATCTAAAAGCCCCTTAAAAAAAATATCGTCTTGGGTAGAGTCGGTTAGGGCAGCTCTTAAACAAGTTGGAGTGTTACTACAAAATCGAGTGAGTGAAAATAAAATACATAATGCCTTATACTTTTGAGATATGTGTTACGGATGACATGATCGATGCATTCTGGTTTAGTTATACATTGTGTAATTTCCTTTTCTCCTCCACATAAATGAACTCGGAACCAAAACGTCACAATGGAGATGAACCAAAAAAAAAAAAAACGTCACAAATGACATTGACAATGAATTAGAAACCAAAACACCACAGCTAAGATAAACTGTAAGTTGGTCTTCCATTTGCATTGAGCCCCAAAACAGCACAAGATCCCGGTAAAACCGCGTCGCAAGGGGAGTTCTACACAATGGTGGACACTGCCTAGTTGCACCATGTGACTGATCTCACGTTTGCCACCGATTTGAAAGTTTTTTTTCTTGAGATGGACACAATCACATCCCAGTAGGAGTGTATTTGGTTTGAATGTATTTTCATTTTTGATACAAACAGAGTTTAGCATTTTGGGTCTCTAACTTACTCCTATTTATTACTTCACTACCAGGCTAATGCTAGTAACTTTTTGTTCTGAATGTTTTAGCTTGACCTTCATACACCATGTGTTGTTAATAATAGACATGTCATAATATAAGTTGACGATATTATTACAATATTATTTTCATACTCAACGTCTAATGTACAGAACTTCCTTTTCTTCGTTTGGTTACTTGCATCAAGGACTAAAAATTATTGAGTAGGTAAAATATTTTACTTTGTCCAAAAAGATTTCAGTAATCAAACTAATTTCTATTATGATTCCTAGCTAGTAAACAGTACAATAAGAGTGCCTCATTCCATTTCATACTCATTTTGATTCCTTCGTAATCTGAATCTTTCTCATTCTAATTTCATATTAGTAAACGTGGCCAAATAGTAAGAAACAGCAAAATTAATATATTACGAGTGAATTTATAATACGACGTAACAATTTGATTTCCAATTCTAAGAAATATTTAACTTGTTTCAATATGCAATTTGGCTCTTGACCGAATCTTAATTATTTAGAGTATAAAATTTTGGATTTGGAATTTGGGTTTTGCAAACAAATATTTCCAGGACCTCCAGTAAAAGTGTTGAATGATACAAAGTTCCACTAACTTCATCGGCATCCAAAAATAAAGTAAAAATGTGATGGAGAAGAAAGAATTTTGTTAAATCTATATGAAATCATGAAATTGAATGATACAAAGTTCCACTAACTTCATCGGCATCCAAAAATAAAGTTAAAATGTGATGGAGAAGAGAGAATTTTGTTAAATATATATGAAATCATGAAAGTGGAAGTCTATTCTACTTAGCCTGGCCTACTTGAGAAGGAAGCTGATTGCCTGCCCTCTTATTTGGAGTGTCCTTCTCATCTTCTCTTATTTATATGATCACGATTAAGCTATTTTAATATTTTATATTCTTATTATTTTTTGTCTTATTATATTTATAAAAAATTAATATAAAATATTTATATAACTTAATCGCACAAAATAAAAAAAAAAAAATTTAAAAAACCAAACAGAAGAGCAGACAATTTGCCTCTATTTAAGAAAAGGTAATGCCCACATTTGTTATTCCTTGTCAATTCAACAAGAAAGGATGTGTCATTTCGAAGGGCGTGGCATGCACAAGCTGGATGTGATGAAGCCAAATTTAGGTCCACAACTTTCATAGCAATCAAATCCATATTCTATATGTAAGAAAAATACAAACCTTTTGGATGATATACCTTTTTAATATTCGATCCATCGGCATCGATCCAAAGACAAGCGAAACGAAAGATAAGGAGGAAGGTGGTCATGGGACATATACAGGCAAATATACCTTTTTAATAATACGTTAAACTATTTAGATACAAAAAATTGATACTGTTAAAAGATGTGGATCTATAACTGCATCAAAGAGTGTGTTGGTAAATCGTGTTGATTTTGTATACTTACTCAAATTAATATTTACTCCTACTGTAACCTGACCACATTTGTTTTGCTAAGTTTGTGTATGTGATCGATCACCTTCATTGATAATAAAGCGACAATTTAAATAAAGAAGTGTTATTGGCTCTTCGAAAATCTCATTCTATACTCTTCACAAGTGTATTTTTATTTCTAAATATAAAATGTTTGGACTGTAGAATGAGATTTGGAGTGCCAATAACAATTCCCTTTAAATATTGATGTAGTCTCTACTTTGCCCATATTGTCTATTTTTGCATTCTTGCGTAGGTGACGAGAAAGTTCTTTCATGCTATGGAACATTAAGTGTTATGAGAAATGGATGATCTAGATTTGTTTGAATTATTATTTTTAGGATGAACTATCAATTTAGTTCATAAATTATCACCTGAGTGAAAATTAAGTCCATAAACTTTTTTTTTTTCTTCAGAAAAATCAGTCATTGCATTATAAAAATTTGCCAATTACATCCCTAATATTAGATTTGAAGCTACAATATTCAATTTTCCGTCCATTTAAGTATCTTACTTACATGTGATACACATTGAATGGTAGATTGATAATTTTTCATAAAGAAATAGTGTATGGAGTTAATTTTGAAGGTTAATTAGATTTGCAACCTATATGAAATATTAAGGGCTTATAGGTGAGAAAATGATGGTATTACACTCTAAAGTATGTCAAGTTACTTAAGTTAACGAAAAATTGAATAAAATAGCTTTGAATATAATAGTAGAGATGAAATTAGCAATTTTAATGAATTTAGGGGACTTATTTTACCGAAAAAAATAATAATTCAGGTGGTGATAGTTCAGGGACTAAATTGACACTTCACCCTTATTTCTATTGTGCCGTTGCCCAGAGGAGCATAGTTGTTCCGATCAAGTAGTACATTAGTTCTCAACCTGAAGATTATTTTCTATTGTAACGGTTCCCTTGTTATCCATATCATTTTCTTTTGTAATCCCGTAAATTCAAATCATCTAATGCTTGTGTATTTAATGCTACGTAATTTTATGAGACAGTAAAAATTTTACAGACAATTCACTAGTTCACTACCAATCGATATATCGACTTTCATATCTCCCAACTTAACCGCTGATGTAGTAATTCAATGTGTAATGTATATGCAAAAGGCCTCAATCAATTTAATATTAAAAAGATCTAACTTCACGAAATTTCCAACACGGGACGAACGCCCCTATAGAGTGAGAGATTTTTTTTATGTGCTTGAAACATAGGACAGTAAGCTATATGTTATTATACAATTAGAGAAAATCTCTCCTACATAGCCTACTATTCATACTATGATTTGTTTCATGTCCCCACATGCATGTATGAAGATAATTTAGAAACTCATCACACATGAATATTTCAACATGAGTATCTAGGTAGACTAAATTTAATCACTTTAATATTACCCTTTCAACATTATTCTTATGCGCAATATGTTATAGCAACTAGCAAATAATTCTGAAATTGTTCTCGAAATGTTCATATGCATTATTAGCAAGATATTCCAAGTTGAAAGAGAAATATTAATTATTGTACAATAATTTGCCTCCCATTTTCTTCACCCAAAACCTCTTCTTCTACACCTTGCTTATTACTATCATAACGATCATGAACATGGTCCTTTGGAACTGTCACAACCAGCTCTTCCCTAGTACACGTGGCCCTGGCCAACTCCGGTCTCGCCGATGCCGGCAGCCGATACCTCCAGAGATCAAGATCGTCCACTACTTCTCCGTCCAACCTCCACAAATCACCACCTTCCGTTTTCCTTATCACAGTCTTTGTCACCCCGGGATAAATCTCTACCGTGTGGACTCGGACAGCAACGCGGTTGCCAATAACTTGTCGGGTGGTGGTGGGCGTGGTCACATGCACGGGCATGGCGACTGAGAAAATGAATGAGTCGGAGGTTTCTTGGACGGAAACGTCGGCGTTTGAGTGGAAGGGGAGCTCGAGGACGCTGGCGAACACGTGGGGGAGTCTCCGGAGCTTCCTCGGCGGCATGGAAGAAGATGCGACGACGTCGTATAACATATTGCGCTTTTGGGGGGAGGGGTGGACTCTTTTCTTCATGGGTTTCTGGTTTCTGATTGTTCACAGGTTGCTTCTCGCAGCTCAAACGCAAAGGGTATAAATTACACGAGGGAATATGGGCCCAAAATTATCCCCACGTTGTTATAGATTAAATATAAAGCCCACATGGAATGTCTGATCCAATTTTTAGCCCAAGACTGAATGCTTTATTATAAAAACAGAAACCTTACAATTTTGTGATTGACAGGATTTACTCATGAATTTGAGGTCTCATGATCGACTCATTCCTTACCCACTATTATTTTTATAAACAAAAACACACACAAACGCACAATTGTGGCTAAAATGGTGAAATGTCACTTTAATTACAAGTTATCTCTCCATTCAAATTTTGTTTGTCTAAAATGGTGAAATGTCACTTTAAAGATGTTAACACAGGTCCCCTTTCGACCCCAACAAGCTCAGAAGAACACAAGCCTGATGAACTTGGCAGGACGAAGTTGACTGCTCTAGAACCTATGCCTCCCGGCGTCTTATCAGCTATCAAGCCAAGCGCTTCCCCATAACAGTACTTTTCGACCACTAAGACCATCTCCAATGGTGACCTAAAACCTAAAAATATTTAGCCCATAAAATTTAGGTTTTAGCCCAGAAACAGATTTTCTACTCCAACCCTTCTGGCTTAAAATTTTAGCCCCAGATTATCAAAGAATGAATTAAGGCTATTTTTTTTAAATTAACTTTTTAAAAAAAAAAATTTATGTAGACTATCCTAAATTAATTTTATGAACATTTTAACCTAAAAATATTTAAATTCCGATAAATTTTGAAAAATCACTAAATCAATACATGAAAATCAAGATAAACCACATAAACTTAATACCAACGACATTTAATAAACCACATAAACTTAAAAAATAAAAAAGACAATTAATAAACCACATAAACTTAAAAAATAAAAAAAACAATTAATAAACTACATAAACTTAATACAATCGAAAACTCATAGACTACATAAACTTAATAATGATATTCACCATCTTGACTTGGTGATGGACTTGGTGATAGTCTTGAGATGAATCATCATCTTGAAATATACTCCTTGTGGCATTCCTTCGTAAAATTTCCTTTTGCTTACCACGTAAGTATCTCTTCCTCTCTGGAGTGTATTTGTCGAGGGCCTCCATTATCAAATTAGTTTCGTACCTTTCTTGCTCCCTATCCCCTTCTTCCTTCATGGCCATTCGCATTTGGGCCGATTCTTCTTGCCGACGGCACTGGATTTCCTTCATTATTGCCATTTCGCTAGCAAATTGTGCACGTGCCGGATCTTGGGACTTCCCTTTTCTCTTTGCTTCCTTTTGCTTATCTCTACCCGGGGGCCTTGCAAAAGAAGAAGTTGGGGTCATTTGTTCGACACCTTCATTGTCGGCAAAATTCACACCTTCATTGACATCATTTGGGGGTGGGGCTTCATTATGAAATAATCTTCCACATTGTTGGTTCGCATCGGTTCCCCACCTCGGACAATCCTTGAGGATGTTCCAAGCATGATGCAACTTAAAAGCTTGATTTTTTGGTGTAGTTCTTGTCTTGTAAATTGCCATTGCTTTGTCACCCTATGCAACAAATACATAAAAACAATTAGTTGCAAAATACTATTATGTACATGACAACTAAAATATCAACAAATAAACTCACAATTTCTGAGGCGCCCCTTCCACTAGGCATGTCAACCATGGCTCTCTCCAAGCTTCCTTTCCATAAAGTGCACGCTTTGTTGATAATCTTCCACCGATCATAAACACCACCAACTTCCCTTCGACCGGCGTTGGAGTTTTCATGGAACTTATCAACGATTTTACCCCATAAAACCTTTCTATTTTGATTGGTGCCGACGGCACCATCTTCGCTAATTGAAATCCATGCCAAACATAAAGCAATATCTTCGTCAAAGGTCCAATTACGACCTCTAACATGCTCTTTTGCCATCTTGAAAATACTAGAAATGAGAATAAATGGTATAAAGAAAAATTAGAAGAATTGTAGGAGAAAAGTGAGTTTTGTGTGGATGTTTGAACAAATACATAGGTATTTATAGAGTTTTTGGTTGAATTTTAAGTTAAATAATTTTTTAAAATTATTCTAGCCGTTGGATTTAAATTTGGACCGTTAGATCTTTTTTTTTACCGTTATATTTAATTATATTTGATCTAAGCCGTTGGATTCAATAAATACATAAATATAAAACTAAAAAAAAAAATAAAAATTTGAACCTGGACCGTTGGATTAACCAACGGCCCAGTTAATTGCACCATTAGATATAAAAAGTAGCCGTTAGCTACCTTTCGGACTGACAAATTGAATGAACAGCCCACGTGGGGCTGTCGGCTGGAGCAGAAGTGATGGCGCGTGCGGCGCATGGGCAAGTGACGGAAGGGAAAGTGGGCTTCACAGCCCGTGTTTCACTCACAACAGGTAGGGCCTATAATGACTTTTGGCCTAAAAACGGGCTGATATTTGGCCTTCTTTTAAGTTTTGGGTTTTAGGTTTTATTTAACACATGGGTTGGAGTGGGTTTTGGGGGGGAAAAAAAGGGGAATTTTAGGTTATAAGCCATTGTTGGAGATGGTCTAAGGGGCAAGTTGGCCACTCACAGCATTGTGGCACGAAGTTCTAGGAAAATAAAGGGCATACTTATTCAGACATCTAACTCCAAGCCATATGACGACTAGACGAGGGAACAAAACCCTATGAAAGGGGCATAAAGGTTGATAAATAAAGTGTTCGAGTACGGTTCCCACCAACACAGGGCCGAGCGTTTAAGCTTTACGAAAGGGACATAAAGGCTGATAAATAGAGTGTTCAAGTACAGGTTCCCACCAACATAGGGCCGAGCTTAGACGGTCCGCCGTGTTGTCCCAAGGCAGGGCACAAGTGAACCTGCACAAGCATCACTTCGTTGCCATGTATCAGCCAAATCTGTGTATGTGGCGCATTAAATGCAAAGAAAGTGATTAATATGTGACCTGTGATTGTTTGATCTCCTGGTTCCAAAAGGAAGAGATCCGAAGGACCTCAACATCTCAAACCGGGAAAGAAAAAGCATTGCAAATGAAGAATTTGTATTTGTACATGTTTTGTGTTCAACTATATGCAAACAATAATTTCAAGTTTTTGTAAAGTAGAATGAATTGAGTGGACAAAGCATATGGACCATCTATACCATATTTTAAAATTTTCATACATACAAAAATCCTTTTAAAGGAAAATGCATATTCAATTAAAAAAAAAAAAAAAGGACAAGATGTTTATAAGGAACATGTCTTGTTTGCTACCTACCACTACAATTAAGTGCACAGGAATTATGGAAAGATTGTGCCATCTTTTGTTTACACTTGATTAAAATGGACCTAAAAGTTAAAAAAAATAAAATAAAATAATTTCATTTATCTGAACTCTTAGACTCCATGTGGCAGGTTGAATGGGATAGATTGTGTTAAAATGTGAGATGGACATGACTGGACAAAATGAGTTATGGATCCATAACATAGTGGGTTATTCAGCCCACCAAATACACGAGTTACAAGTACCGTCTTACAAGTCCCTGACAATCAAATCTCATCCCTAAGGTACAATCCTATATAGCCCACCAAATAGGGCCCTAAAGGATTTGTTTATGAGTGTTTAGGGTTGGCTCAAAACAATTTGACTCACACCAAGTTTGACTCATGTTTGTCTCGTCATAGTTCGGCTCGTGAAATAACTAAGTAAAGCCTAGTTCGGTTCGATTAAGAAACAAGTTAAGTTTGAACATTGATATATTTGACTCGTAAAGCTTATAAGCAACTTCTAAAGTTTTTACAAGCGACTTGAGATGGACTTGAGCTCAGCTTGGTAGTTCAAGCTTGACAAGTAATAATACATATTTAGAGGCCTAAATCCAACTAACTGAATTAATACAAAATAAAAAATATATTTTCATATCATACCAAAGATCCTCTTAATTCTTAAAGGAAAATATATTTAAAAGGAACATGTCTTGGTCGGTACCTACCAGTACAATTAAAGTGTAGAATTATGGAAAGACTATGCCATCTTTTGTTCACACTTGATTAAAATGGAGCCAAAATTAAAAAATATTAATTTAATTTGTCTAAACTCTCAAGTAGTTGTTTCTGAGTGTTGTAGGCAGAGAGAATTTGACTATTATGACCCTGTTGACCTTAAAATACGGCATAGTTGTGTCTTTGTATGAGGGTGACATAATTTTTTTTTTCCTCGTCAAAAATAGTGTCATTCAACGAATGTGAATTGGTAAGTGTTTCGTTACTACAGTGATAATAAAGACTTGAATTCATGCATGATTGCATGAGTACGAACCTTATCAATAACTCATTTAATATCTAATATAATAAAATCTATCGTTACAAAAAAATTAACAAAAAAAAAAAAAAAAATTAGAAAAATTTGGAGAAGTGGGGTATCGATCCCCATACCTCTCGCATGCTAAGCGAGCGCTCTACCATCTGAGCTACATCCCCACTCTGATAAATTTGTTCCACTTAATTTTAATAACGTTACTAAAGTGAAACTGTGGCATATTCGGAATGGTATTCGTGGGCATCTCTCCAGTTTTGAAGCCCACCCACAGAAGCAAAGATCCCCACTTTAGGATTTATTCGTTGCGGGAAAAAGGAGAAACATTGTTTATTTTTATTTTTATTTTCATGCATATCTTTGTCTATTTTACATAGAAAAAAATTATTATCAACGTACTGTTTTAGTTTAGTTTTACATATGGTGTTACATTATCAAATTGGATGATAGCAAATTCGTTACCCGTAAAACAAAAATGTAAACGAGAAAAGGAAAAGATGTTAAAATTATTTATTTTTAATGCAACAATATTTTTAAACTAATTGAATCACATAATGAACAGCATAATTATTGATTTTTTGAACTCAATTTCGGAAAAATTTAACCTATATTTATTAGTA